TTTATCACAATAACTTCTGGGACATTTTATCATCCAGGGACGTTTGTGAGGGCGACACGCCGAGTTGGATCTTCATCGACGTTTTAGAGATTTCCAGACTAAATCTGACCAGAATCCACTAAAAGTCTGACTTAGGAGTCATTTAAGCATAAAAAGACCTTAAAGTTGGTGAACAAACATAAAAATAAACTTTTAGAGTCAACACGTTTGCCTGTATTTTGATTTCATTTTGTCCTGTTAGGTTTCGGTGAATCACTTTGTGTCTCTGTTAGCCTGAAGCTTCTGCAGGATATTGATCTCTAACATCAACAGAAAATAGAAATGAATCGTAGCAATAAGACCCTGAGCAGAAATGTTTATAGCTGATGCTCAGTCTGATGTTTCAGGATGTTATTTTGTCTCTTTGTAGCTTTGGGCCCTCCAGACGCACCGAGTCCGACCGGCTCTGCTCCCTGCAGACACGCCCGGCCCGTTTCTCCCTGCATGCAGTCGATCAGCTCTGCTCTGACTTAACATTTATTTATTTCCTGATATTTGTGGAGAAAACAGAAGCAGCTGTCTATTGCCACGCCCTCCACCTCCATCTGCGGCTCGTTTGCATCAAACCTTCTGCAGATCTGGTCAGATTCGGGTGTTTTTTCGATTCAAACTGCAGATTAAAACCAAGGGATTCCTGAACAAAACATTTACATTTCTTCCTATTGAATTCCAGCTTTAGTCAAAGAGTAAATGAGAATAAAGTAAAGTAGTAGACCGTCAGTAAAATAATTAAAATCCACATCTTTTGGTGAAAAATACAGTGATGATTATTTGAGTAATCGATTTTTTTCACGATTAATCGGATAAAAACGATTCTGCATTCTGCTGAATTTTCATTAAATAATCCTTCTAACATTAACATGAAAATCTCATAACTTTTTTTCCGTTTGATTGGCTGATTTGTTGATTATTTCTTGGGTTAACTGATTAATAGAAAATATGTTTATTTTTACAGAATTTGAACTGGGTGAAGCTAAAATTTAGGAGTTCTGGGAAGAACATATTTACAGGAAAAACAATGTTTTTATTTGTTTTAAATGAAAAATGTTTTTATTTTTGTACAGTTTTGTTTTAATCACTGCTCTAACTGTGTTGTTATTTCAGCAAATTGCGTTTTTAATTCTCTATACTCGTCAATCCATTGCTAAATTAGTAAACGATTATTTCAGTCATTGATTAATCACAATTATTTTGATTAATTTTCAATTAATTGAAAAATATTCTGTTTACTGATTTATTTTTTGCCTTTTTTTCAAGAACGTGGGAGAAGGTTGTTTAAAGATTTGCATAACTTCAGTGTATTTAATGCTTGGGCCTCTTTCTGCCGCTGTGACTTTTTTTATTGTTGCAAATGGAGCAACGTGATGCTCAGTAGCGCCCCCTAAAGCCGGAGAAGCGCATGATGGTCCATCAAACGGGACTCTTTATTTCTGCTTTTATGGCTCAAAGACCCGCCCAGAAAATAAGTTCATTATATTTAAAAATCTAAATTCAGATTATATTTATGAAAAGATTTAAGGTGAACTGATATTGATTAAATTTGGAATCATCTGCATTGATTTATGATGTTAAAATGGACGCCGTGTTGCTAAGCTCGTCATAAAAATGCAAAATATTAGCAAGTTTTGAGGAAATTTTACATTTATTTTATAGAAATGATCACAAATCTATACGAAAGGAGTTCAAGCAGTGAACAGATCTGTTATTAGCACAACAAATAAACAGCAGCATTAAACTAAAGGCACGTAAAACCACATTAATCATTAAATCTCCACACAAAGATTTAATCTGCAGCAGTGAAACGACAATCAGCAGCAGAATTACTGAGGATTAACCAGCAGAACGGACCAGTGAACCCAGTCCGACCAGTACCGCCTGGCACAGACCGCAGAGGCTGAAAATGACCAGCCAGCCGGAAAACTCGGCCTGATTCCGCAATCAGCTCAATGTGACCTGAAGGTGGATAAAACCTGAAACCGAACAGAATCCGACCGGAACCCGATGAGAATCGGCAAATTTTGCTCTTATATTTCGGATATTTGACCTCATTTTAGCTGCTGCTGCGGGTTTTTTTCTGACATTTATGATTCATGAGCTCCTCCATCATCCATCCCTCCATCATCCATCCCTCCATCATCCATCCATCCATCATCCATCCATCCATCATCCATCCATCCATCATCCCACATGAAGGAGAAAACCAGGTCGAACCCGCATTTCTCTGAAAAACCCGCAATTTACTAAATAATAATGAGATCCGGAATCCATTTTCCTCCCGTTTATTTAAGAAAAACAATTTCACATTAAATGTACGAATCAAATGTTTGAACAAATTCAGTTCATGTCTGATTCGCATCAGGGAGGAGAACCGAACCGAGCCCAACTGGATTGTTCCGAACCAAGAAAAAAAAAGCGGAATTCAAAGGGGAAGGAGAGAGAAATGAAAGGAAACGAGGAGCGGTCTGTCCTTACCTCATGACTCCGAAAAGAGCTGAAGATCAATGACGAAGAGGAGGAGAGCGAAGAAGAGGGGGATGAAGAAAGGATGGGTGGTGGGGTATTTAATCTGCTATTCACTAAAATAATCTGATAAAATTATATCTAAATATAAAAAAGCATGAAAAATATAGTCGGATTTAAAGTAATCGGATAATTTTTGCCTTAAAACGTTTAAAGCAACCTGCTGTTTAAAAAGATGATAATTGCAATATCACTTCCCCACCAGCAGGGGGAGATGAAGTGTTGCAGTCCAACGTACTGGCATTCAATAATGCCACCTGGTGGCGAAAATAGTGTAACACACTCTTCTGTTTGTCTCACATTGAAAACCCGTTTTTTAAATACCTGTTGTGGTTAATAACTGTTTTTGTTACATTTTTGTTTCTGATTTTTTAATTTCCTGTAACTTTAATTACATTTTTTTTTATCAATGTGTTGTGATGTTGTTTTATTGCTACTATTAATACTGTTTTTATATTTGAGACTGTCATTGCGATAATTTCTTTTAGATTCAATATAACTATAATTTCCCTTTTGAATGGTTTAAAATAAAAAGGTTAATGTTACACTTAAGTCTCTGGTAAAAATATTTTTTCAGTTGGTTTTTGAGTATAATATGTAATACAGAAGTTTTTGTAGATCATGGATCAATATTTAGCAGAAGTTACACTGTTTTGTTTTCAGTTTCTCACATGATAGTTTAAGGATTTATGTTTTCTGTCTTTTATGACATTACATCGTTTAAATTGACATATCTAATAGGTCTTGTGCTTCATGCAGACTTTAAACTGGACACTTTTTCTGACTACAGTCTAACAATAAGGTTTATTGTCTGTTCTTTAGCTCTTGTAGTTCTGCATTATCACCACTAGAGGGCGACAAAGGATTCAAATTATTCATACAATTCCCTGTAGGTTTATTGACACGTTTTTCACGATTAATCATATGAGTGTTCATTTTTCTGCAAATTATTCTATTTAGTTGAATAATCTTTGAAAAGTATATCTATTATCAATCAAAATTTGATTAAACTTATAACATCAGATAGTAGCACTATTAATGCAAAAATCAAACCAAAACTTCTTTGCACCTTTACAATAAACTTGCCAATTCCTTCAAATTGTTATTTTAAAGATTTTGTTTTTGATTAATTGATAGTCTGTTTGTGCGAATTTACGATTTGAGAGTCCTCCATCCATCTATCCATTTTCTATACATCCTTGTGCCTCAGTGGGGTTGCTGGTGCCTAGAGGCAGGGTCACCCTGGACAGGCCGCCAGTCTGTCGCAGTGAGAGTCCTTAATAATAATAATAATAATAATGGTAATTATTATTTATTTATTTATTTATTTATTTATTTATTTATTTATTTATTTATTTATTTTTAATTGTTATTATTGTTGCAAAGCTGTGCAATAAATAGATGTGCAGAACTTCTCTTAATTTAACCAAAATATATCAGTTTATGTGAAACATCAGCTGTCAGTAAATCAGTTGTTTATTTAGAAAACAAACCTTTTTCAGGTTTTGTTTTTTTAATGAAATCTCTGTGATTCATGTGTTTCATAATTTTGTTCTCCTATTTTTTCTCCTGCTGACGTGTCTGGGTGACGCTGACTGAGGTGAAGGTGTGAAGGAAAAATATATTTTTATCAAGAAAGAGGAGGATGGTGAAAGTGAGACTTCCGGTTGGAGTCAGCGCACAGCCTTCAAAATAAAAGTCCAAAACACGCGACTCATAAAAACATTTTTTCCAGTTTATTTGACCTTTTAATCAAATTATTCTGTAACGTCATATCAATCAAATGAGTCTTGTTTAAATTCTTTTCAACTATCTTATTTTAGGAATTTTATTCTTCTTTGTATTTATTATGATGTAATTATTTTTTTTGTTGTGTTTTAATTTGTTGAACAAAACCCCGGGTTCTTTTTAATTATATTGTGATTTTGAGGATTTTTTTTTGTTTCTGACACACATCACTAATTATAATATTATTGTAGTAATAACAATTATATTATTAAAATAACATAATAAAAATAATATAAAAATAATAAGAATAAAATAATACAATTATAATAATATATTAGTACAACTGTTCTGTAATAATAATAATAATAATAATAATAATAATAATAATAATAATAATAATAATATGGATTTTTTTGCATACTTATTTGATTTTTATTGATATTGATATTTTATTTTTATTTTTATTCTGTGTCGTCTTAAATCACTTTCTCATTAACATTTTTGTGTCTATTATTTTATTTTATCTTGTTCTATTTTATACGTAATTTTAAAAAACAAAGAAGAAGAAGAAGAAGAAGAAAAAGAAGAAGAAAAGAAAGGCTTTTATTTTGGAAGTAAACCCAAAGAATCCCAGCCGAACTTGTTTCTTGTGTTTTCCAAGGGAAGGAGGTGATGGAGCGGAGAGTAGGAGGAGGAAGAGGAGAAAGAGGAGGGTTGGAGTGAAGCGATCAGCAGCGGGTCTGGCGGTGATGATGGTGATGATGATGGTGGGGATGTGAGTCAGAAGGCGGAGGATCCGGGATGCTTACAGACGCTCCGAACCAACCGAACCCTGCAGACACACACAGAGCCTAGAGGAGGAGAACCCCGCAGGATCCGGCGGTGACACGCACGGTGAGTCCGCAACCATCACACCCACACCGGCGGCCGCACCGCACAGACACGCACCCGAAATCCAGCCACCATCCCCGGCCAGAGGGACCGCCAGCGCCCGGTGGACGGAGCTCCGCGGCCGGATCGGACCTGAAACCCGGCTCGGTGCCGAACTGGTTCCGTGCGTGCGGGTGCGGGTGCGTGTTTATGTAATGGGAGTGGGTGCACGTGTCCAGCTGTGCGCGTGCACGGGCCCTCCTTACTATGGCGCGCAGTCACACGGATTAACATGATGTAAGGAGATAATGAGGCCGGTGAGCTGCAGCTGATTGAAACCGAGAACAAAGCAGCTGCTCTGCGGGCGCATGCGTGTGTGTGTGTGTGTGTGTGTGTGTGTGTGTGTGTGTGTGTGTGTGTGTGTGTGTGTGTGTGTGTGTGCGTGTGTGTGTGTGAAGGCAACTGCAGTGGAACACCTTCAGTTTCATTCAAATTTGCGACTCATTGAAAATGAAAATTTACCTTTTTTGTCAATCATTCCGTGTTAATTATGTCACTTTAGTTGGAAAATAAAAATATGAAGAATCTTCTTTTAAACCTTTACACATCAATAATAGAAAAGAAAAAAAAATTGTGTAACAGAAAAGATAAATAAATTTGACTTAAAATAAAGTCAAATTTATTTTAAGTCATATTTGTGATGTAAATGTCAATTTTTATGGCAACTATTGTTAACATAGCTACTTGACTGTGCTAAAATATGGCTTGAAAATACATCAACACTGCCCCTGTAAGTCACATTAGATGAGCACTGCGCTGTTACCTAGTAACCCAACCTGAGTTCCAGCATGTTAGCTCAATTGGTATACGCTGTACAATGGCTGCTGGAAAAGACAAAGTAATTTGTTGTTTACCTACCATCCAGAAACCACTTGCTGCATTCTGGTTGGTTATGCAGGATGCTCCACTTCTGCTTTTCAAAGATGCATGGTTGTAAAATTGCACATCTGTTTGCAGCCATTTTTACATGTGGGTGTAAACGTTGAGCTGGGAATGTGGTCAGCAGCAGATTATTTGGTTTTAAAGTGACAAGACGCCCCAAAACAGCTAAGATCTCATTATCTAAGAACGATTTTGAGCCAAAAAGGAAACAAAAATGATTTGTATAGACCATAAACATGCCCTACCCTGTTCAAGGAAGCATAATAGATCACATTTAAAGAAAAAACAACCATTATCACACTGCAGCTGCCAGAAAACATCCAGCCTGCCTCATTCCAGGACTACAAACACATAATAATGTTTGATTTTTGCTGCAGCTTCCCGTCTGAGAGAGTGTGAACTGTCTGCTGTTTGTGTCCTGTCTCATTTTAGAGAACCGGGAAATTACATAACTTGTGCTAATTATTTTGTTCTATTAATAAGCTGTGAATGTGTTTCCTGTTAGGCTGCTGTCTGGACCTGGGTAATAACTGCAAAACCTTCACTTTTGTGAGAAATTTAAGATATAAAAGTCTCAGATTTTCATCAAACCAGCTCTGACTTTGATAAAGTTAATACCCGTAAACAAAAATACTTAATTGTTGTTAACCTTAAAAAACCCAAATTAAACCAACATTTCTGTATGATTTCACATCCCTTCTCCAAAAAGATTCAAACTGGCTGAATTTCCTGAGCAGCAGTCATTCTGAGACACAATGAGTGCAACACTGAAGGGTTAAAGAAAATAAAACACGTTCTGGAAGGGCTTAGTCAAAGTATGGACTCAAATCACATAGAGATGCTGTGGCAAGACTTAAAATTGTCTGTTCAGTTGTTGTGTTTTCTCAGATTTTCTTTGATATCAAACAGAGTCATGCAGTAACTAGTTACATTTACTCAGTTACTTCAGTAAGATTACTTTTAGGAGTATTTTTACTATGCTGTACTGTTTATTTTTACTTGATCCTCAAAGTGTGGCCTGGGGGCCATTTGTGGCCCTTGCAATGATTTTGATCGGCCCCCAACCACAAACCAAAAAAGTTAAAAATTTCGCCAAAAAAATTGGAAACTGTCTGATTGTCTTTTAAAAAGGCAAAGTTTTGTTATGTTAAGGGCCTTTAGGGATTTATATAATCCTTTTTGTTGTTGTTTATTATCAAACAAGTAAAACTGAAAGACAAATAAAATTAATTTTTGGATTTTTAATTTAATACATTTTGTTTCAGAAGTTTTTGATCGAAAGAAACTGATCTGGAAATATTTTCTTTTGCCTGATTTTATTATTTATATAAATTATTTTCATTTTAATTTTTAAAATGCCAACATTTCACAGTTAATTTTATATTTTTGTCCCTCTGATGATGTAATTTTAAAATATTAAATGATTGATCATTTGATCAGTTACTCAGTACTTTTTTTTTTTTTTTACCAAATACTTTTTTACTCTTACTTGGGGGATTTTACTTTTACTTGAGTAAAAATATGTTGAAG